GTGTGTGTGTGTGTGTGTGTGTGTGTGTGTGTGTGTGTGTGTGTGTGTGTGTGTGTGTGTGACTATGGGATAATTTATAGTATATGATGTGTGTGTATATATGTGGATAGATGTAACATGAAGAAGCATAAATTTGAGAGGGAATGGAACATGGGAGGAGCTGAAGGAGGAGGAAGAGGTAGAAATGATACAAATGCGGTAGTCATGTGTGAAATTCTCAAAAACATTTTTAATGGAAAAATATTTAAAATAAGCAAGGTATGGTGGTACAGACTTGTAGAGACAGACGTTAGGACTCCTCAGCTAGCCAGGCTATCCAAAGAGGCAAGCCCCAGATCCCAGTAAGAAACCCTGTCTCAAAAGTTACGGTCGATGCCTCCTAAAAAATAGGGCCCAAAAAGTAATGATAAGGAGTGACCACATTGGTTTTGAACGTAAACGATTAATGATCGAGGTGAGAGGGCCCAGCTCACGGTGGCAGAGCCATCCCTGGGCTGGTGGTCCTGGGTTCTGTGAGAAAGCAGGCTGAGCCAGCCATGGAGAGAAGTGAGTGAGCGGCACCACTGTGGCCTCCGCCTCAGCTCCTGCCTCCAGCGTCCTGCCTGGAGGTCCTGCCTGACCGCACGATAGACTACAAACTGTAAAATGAAATACTCCCTTTCCTTTCCAAGTTGTTTCTGGTCATGACGTTTATCACAGCCAAAGGGGTCAAACTAAGGCGGGCGGTGATGGTGTGCAGCTTTCTTTAATCCCAGCACTCAGCGGGCGGGTCTCTGAGTTCACGGCCAGCCTGGTCTACAGAGGGAGTTCCAGGACAGCCAGCTACACAGAGAAACCCTGTCCCAACAAATCAGGGAGGAAGGGGGGGAGAGAGAGAGAGAGAGAGATCAGCGGTTAAGAGCACTGACTGCTCTTCCAGAGGACCCAGGTTCAATTCCCAGCACCCACATGGCAGCTCACAACTGTCTGTAACTCCAAGATCTGACACCCCACACACAGACATACATGCAGGTAAAACACCAATGCATATAAAATAAAAATGAATTTTAAAAAAGCTCTAAAAAAAAAAAAAAAAAAAAGAAAGGAGGGAGGGAGGGAGGAAACTGGCTGGGATGGGTACGCACCCATATTTGACCAGGTGGCAGCAGGCCACAATTTGAGAGTTGTTTCAAGTAGCTGGTAACATCTAGACGTATTTGGAAACAATCTAGAAACAGCCACACTCTTTTATCAAACTCATGTAGTTTCCGTTATAACCGAAAGGGGTGTTTTATTTTAGGTGTGTGTGTGTGTGTGTGTGTGTGTGTGTGTGTGTGTGTGCATGTGCGCATGCACACGCCACAGCACACATGTGGCATTCAAAGGTCAACTTGCAGGAGTTGGCTCTCTCCCCCAACTTGATCCCAGGGATAGAACTCTGGTCATCAGTCTTGGTGGCAAGTGCCTTTGCCCACTGAGCCATCCCCCATTTCATGACAAGGCCCGTGACATTATGAAGATTGTCAACCTGACCAGACCGTCTAGGAGACAAACGTGGGCAGGCCTGTGAGGGACTGTGTGGAGAGAAAGATCCACCCTCACTGGGGATGGCTCCATGCCATGGGCTGGCATCCTGGACCGAACAGAAGGGAGAAAGCCAGCCGGGCACCAGCCAGCCAGGCACCAGCCAGCATTCGTGGTTCTCTGCTTCCTGATGGCAGATGTGATGTGATGTGACCAGCTGCCTGAAGCTGCTGCTGCCAGCATGGACCGTACCCTCAAAATGGGGAGCCCCCAAAAAGCTCTCCCTTCCTGAAGCTGTTTCTGTCAGGTGTCTTGTCACAGCATATCTGAACTCAAAGATGTGGTGGATTGAAATCCGACCAAGTCTTGTCGGCTTCCAAACCGTTCTATGGCCAGGAGAACCCTCCAGCAGAAGCAGAAGCTGTGTGTCAGGCTGAATAATGGCTCTGATTACTTTATGTGCTATCGAGGGCCCCCTGGAAGGAGACCCTCTCTCAAAGCTCCTTCATCTGCCACCACACCACTTGAACACACTCAGCTCCCTCGCTCATGCTAGTTAGCAGGCTCGTCATTACCTGTGTGCAATCACTCTTTCCGGCGCGGTTAACTTCCTTATGATCCAACACCCGATTTATTAAGCAGCCTAACCAGGCAATAAATAATCCTGGGGTTTGTGCCAGTGACAGACAATCTGGATATTTATTTAGGTAATGAAGGCTGTGAAGGTGTCTGAAAAACCGTTTGCAATTTGAGGCCCTAGGGCCTAGGGTGCTTGATTGAAGTTTTTCTGTCTGATGACCTGAACTCCCTTCCAATGCCTGCCCCAGGCTTGTCTCTACAGAACGCCTTTGATGTGCTGCACAAGAAAGACTTAGGCTAAGAATTAGAAATGTTTATTTTTTTGTTTGTTTTTGAATGTGTGTAGTGTATTGCCTGCACGTGTTTCCGAGACAGGATCAGAATCTCTCAGTGAGCCTGGAGCAAGCCCCAGCCACCCCTCTATCTCTGCCCCACCCCCACCTAGGACTTGGCCTACCGGCTTGTGTGGTGACACTGTTGTTTGATTGTTATCTGACTGCTGGGATCCAAACTCTGATCTTTGTGCTTGAGCAGCGAGCACTCTTACCCACTGAGCCATCTCTGCATGGTTAGAGCCCCTAGAAACATTTATTTTTAGTTGCAGGTGTCTTTTAAAGTGAGCAGGAAGAGGTGAGCTTTTTTTATCCGTGGTTTCCAAAGCACACATTCAGGTGTGTAGCTCCAAGGATGTTGAGGGACACAATCTGTGGCCCCACCACAAACACACACACACTGGCATCTACCCTCTCTAGCTTTTTTGTTATTATTTAAAATTTTTATTAGAAGATTTAGATTTACATAAGAACTACTGAAAAGTAAAAGAGATTTAAATTCATGTAATAAGAATTAAGGGGGGAGTAGGGGAGGCTAGAGAGATGGCTCAGAGGTTAAGAGCACTGGCTGTTCTTCCAGAGGTCCTGAGTTCAATTCCCAGCACCCACCTGGTGGCTCACAACCATCTATGATGAGATCTAGTGCCCTCTTCTGGCATGAAAGCAGAATATTGTATACATAATAAATCTTTCTAAGAAGAAGAGGAGGAGGAGATGATGATAACAGAAGATAAAAAGCATCAAGATCCAAACGAAACTCATGGAAATTGTTAACAGTGTAAAGAAACAATACCTCAGCACTTTCAGCAGCATTGTCTACAACTGAGCAGTGAACTGGGACAGCAGTGCCTAACAGCCTGTGAGGCACTTAGGGCTTCCCATGACTGGTCTAATCCAACCAGTCATGGCTTTGGGAGGGTTTAAATGAACTACAGTGAACATTCACTGAGATTTAGTTATTCGGTCATCTTCTGCTGATACTAACCTTTACTCTCTCGTGGCTCCTTTCTAGTTTCCTGGAATTTATCTTTCCCGACTTCCACATAGATAGTGCATATTAAAAAAAAAAATAATTAAGCCAGGCACAATGGCTCACGCTTGTAATCCTAGCATTTGAGGGGGTGGGGAGGCGCAGAGGTAGATGGATCTCTCTGGCAGCCTGGTCTACAAAGCGAGTCCAGAACAGCCCAAGCGACACAGAGGAACCCTGTCTCAAAAAACAAAAATAAAACAAACAAACAAAAAAATAAGCTAGCCAAGGCAGTAGTAGCACACACCTTTAATCCCTGCACTCGGGAAACAGAAGCAGGTGAATCTCTGTGAGTTCAAGGCCAGCCTAGTCTACAGAACGAGCTCTAGGACAGCCAGGGCTATACAGAGAAACCCTGTCTCAAAACACAAAAACAAAGAAAGAAAGAAAGAAAGAAAGAAAGAAAGAAAGGAAGGAAGGAAGGAAGGAAGGAAGGAAGGAAGGAAGGAAGGAAGGAAAAGAAGGAAGAAAGAAGAAAGAGAGAGAGAGAGAGAAAGAAAGATAGAAAGAAAGAAAGAAAGAAAGAAAGAAAGAAAGAAAGAAAGAAAGAAAAGAAAGAAAGAAAAAGGAAGGAAGGAAGGAAAGAAAGAAAGAGAGAGAAAAAGAAAGAAGCAAAGATCCACATACGAGAAATGACAAATGCTGTTTGTCTTTCTGAGACCAGGCTAGGATACCTCTCTTAATATAATGGTTTCCAGGTCCATCCAATTTCCTGCAATTTCATTTTTCTTTATGACTAGGATCCCCCTGTTGATTGTACCAAGGCTTTTTAATCAGGCACAGAGGGAAACCCAATACAAGCCTGTGGGCACCAACTGGCAGTGAGGTGTAGGTGCGAGTATGCGTGCCTGCGTGTCTGCGCGCCTGCGTGCCTGTCTGTCCCCTGAATTATCTGGGTGGGGCAGGACTCACCCTTTGTCTTTTCATGCCAGGCCTGTGACAGGGCATGACAGTCAGTAGTCACCCGGTAGTTAAGTTTGTCTACACAGGATTTCCGGGCACACACAAAAAACTATTATAGTCCCCCAAAGCAGCCAGAAATCCAAAGCCAAAACACAGCACAGGATAATCACACAGGCATAACTAACATCTGTTTGTGGTGCAGCCAACATTGTCTGGGGTGCTGTCAGCTTATAAAACCTCTCCGTAGCCCTGAAAAGTCGGGGCTAGCATGACCACGCTCACAGAATTACAGGCTAAGGCAGGGCCAGGAGTGGCATGGTGGCGCACACCTTTAGTCCCAGCACTTGGGAGAGGCAGAGGCAGGCAGAGCTCTGTGAGTTTGAAGCCAGCCTGGAGTTCCAGGCCAGCCAGAGAAAGAGAGAGAAAGACAGGACCTAGGGTCTTTCCTAGGCCAGCATAGCCTGGACATGGCAGGGACTAGAGAGTAGACAGGCTGCACAGTATAGACTCCAGCTGTTGCTGTCTCTGTGTCTCTGCCTTTCTATCTCTCTGCCTGCCCCCCCGTGTGTGTGTGTGTGTGTGTGTGTGTGTGTGATGTTAATGTAGGAGTGTGTATGTCTTTGTGTGGGTGCAGGTGTGTACATACAGAGGCCAAGGGCTGAAGCCAGGTTTCTCTCCACCCCCACCCCAATCTGGTTTATCAAGACAGGGTTTCTCTGTATAGCCTTACCTGTCCCAGAACTCTTTTTGTAGACCTGGCTGGACCCCCTGAGTGCTGGGAGGAAAGGTGTGTGCTACTATGCCCGTCTCAGGTATCTTTTTTCCCAGTAGCTCTCCACTCTTACTTTTTGGCAGGGTCTCTTAATGAGCCTGAAGATCATGGTCCAACTAAACTGGCTGGCCAGTGAGCTTCAGAGACCACCTGCCCCATCCCCCAGTGCTGAGAAATGGGCACTTACCGCTTATCACTAAACCAGGCTTTGTGATGTGGGTTCTGGAGCTCTGTTCTCAGGTCCTCATGCTTACCTGCTGTGTACCTCACTTTACCAACTGAGACGTCTTTCTCGTCCCCAGACTCCAGTTTTTAGCACCAATCCCTACGGCCTAGTGATAGATGGAGAGCCAGGCACCTGCAGGCTGGGCTTGAAGAAAGCCCCACCCCAGGCTAGCTAGCCACGAGGCCCTGAGCAGGCAGCCCCAGCTGTCCTGTTTTGGGCTTCCTCATTTGTGAAATGGGAAGTGTGTGGGGGTGTCCTCCAGGGTGCTGTGACGCTCAGTGGAAGGAGCCAGCTCTGTGAATGCGTCTAGAGTACTGGAAGGTGTGTCCAGCTTTGTGACATAGCAACCCAACCGTGTCATGGACAAAATTCATCTGTAAGAACTACACTATTAAAAAATCACAATAAAATAATGATAATAAGTCACTGACAGCAAAGGTGCTTGCCTCAAGCCTTGACTACCTGAGTTTAATCCCTGGGACCCAGAGGTTAAAATATTGCCCTTTGGCCTCCACATGTGCACTGTGGTGTGTTCATGACCACCACCACCCCCAAATAAAATTGTTTTTAAAACCCATAGTGGTTTGAGTAAGCCTCTGATTTTGTGTCAGGTCACATCCATAGCTAATCATGTCTTCTAGAGGGTCCATTGTCATCCAAGGGAATTAAGGTTACCACCTGTGCCCTTCCCTTGAACTCTGCTTGACCCCTGCCTAGCCACTGATGCCTGGTGGGAAACCTCAGGGCTGGTCTGTGACAGCTGAGAGTTCCAATGACACGAGAATGCGCATTAAGGAGGCAGGCATGCCTGCTGCAGCTGGGCCTCAGCACCTTTGTCATCACCCAGACAAGATCCTGCGACAGCTCAGGATCTCTGCACAGGTCTGGGGACTATCCATGATCTTAGACCTGGGCTGGTGCCCTCTGACCTTGTGCTGTCCCCTCCCCATAGATCAGCGCCCTTCAGAAAAACTATAGCCAGATGCTGTCTCAGACCCTGGCAGAGCGCAACTCAGAAATTGCATCCCTGAAGAATGAAGGCGAGAACTTAAAGAGAGACCATGCCATCACATCAGGTAATCTCCTCTGGAGTTAAGCTTAGGAGACACTACCCTGCCACCCGTTCTCCTGGCCCTGGCAGACATCACCAATCAACTACCAAACTTTGCTCCCTGGCTTGGACAGAAACTCAGAGTTCTCTCTCAGCAGCCCTCGGGCCATTCTGTTGGTGACAGGGTGTCTTCCCCAGAAGTGTGCTCACCAGCCACTGAAGAATGTGGGAAGGGGGACAGTCAACATGGGCCACCTTGCCAGCCACAGAGATTACTTAGCCTGGATCCATCCATCCACCCAGCCATATGTCACATTTACTGACCACTGCTGGCTTTGGTTTAGGGCTCTGGGAGGAGAGCCTTGAACAAGTCATAATCAGTTCCTAAATTCCGGGCTTGGATATGGCTGAGGGTGAGACAATGATAGGCAAATAGGTAAGTAAGCAAGCAAGTCTGAGGGACAGAGTTATGCTGTGGAGGAAATAAAACAGGGCAGCGTGTGAAGGGCTTCAGGAGGGAGGAGAGGGCGGCACGTGTGCCTACAGGAGGAACCCTGTGGGAACAGTGTGCTGCTAGCAGTGTGCTAACATCCTGAGGTAGGGACCAGGTAGCTCTGCTGAAGGAGCAACAGGTGTGTGTGCCTTAGGGGAAAAGGGATTGTGAGAGAGATGGGGGACAGGTGAGAAGACCAGGCCAGATCTCAGGAGAGATTGTCTTCCAAGGGTGCTGGGAAGCCACTGGGATATTTGAAGGGGAGAACAATGTATCTAACAGACCAGAAAAGGATAGAGGCATTAGGAGAAAAAGAGGGAGGAGTGTCAAGAATTTGGAAACAGAGGCCTGGGGAAACAGCTCAGCCATAAAGTCCTTGCCACACAAGCAAGAGGACCCAAGCCCCAGAACTCATGTAAAAATTCAGGCACAGTGGTGCCGACTTGTAATCCCAGTGCTGGAGAGCTGGAGACAGGAGGATCCCAGAACTCACTGGATAGCCAGTCTAGATGACTGATGAGACACTATTTAAAAACAAACATGGTGGATGGGTGGTGGTGGCGCATACCTTGAATCCCAGCACTCAGGAGTTAGAGGCAGGTGGATCTCTCTAAGTTCGAGCCCAACTTGGCCTAGTCTGTTCCCAGACAGCCAATGCTATACAGAGAAATCCTGTCTCAGAAAATAAAGACAAACAAAAAAACATGGTGGAGAGAGATTGAAGACAAGTCAAATATCAGTCCCGAGCTTAGCAGTTCACAGGAGGAGCATTTCTCCCCTCCCACAGGCAGTGTCTGTGTGGAAGAAACGACCACACAACATGGTCTCAGCCCCATTCCAGCCCCTGGGGTCCTTGTAGCCACCATGTTCCTCAGACCCAGGGGCATCCTTAGTGGCTGATTAATAGTAGCTATGACAGTACTCCTCCCATGTCTTTGCTCTCTGTCTCTCCTTTGTTTGAAACAGGGATAGTGACATCATTACAGAAGGACGTGACAGCTCGGAATGAGCAAGTCCAGCAGCTGAAGGAGGAGGTCAGTCAACTGAAGAACCAGATCAACGAGAAGGAGTACCAGTTGGAAACCCTGGGCTCCAGAGTGAGTATCAGGGTCACCACCTACCTCCTCAGTGCTCAGTAAGAAGGACCTACTTCCCTCTTCACTTCTCTTTGAACCTTCCCTTGGAAAGTCACAGCCTCCTCCCACCGTGTGGGGGTCCAGGGACATAAGGAAGAATTGCCCAAAGACTAAATCCTAAAGTGCCCTCCTAGAAAGACGAAATAGAGAGCCAAGTTTCCCACAGTTTTTCTTTTCTGCTAAGATTTATTTTCTTTTTAATTGTGTGTGCCTGTGCATGGTTGTGTGCATGTGAGTGCAACACCTGTGGAGGCCACCAGAGGGCACAAGATCCTCTTTAGCTGGAGTTAAGGTATTTGTGAGCTGCCTTGTGGACACTGGGAACTGAGCTTGGGTCTTCTGGAAGAACAGCGAGTGGTCTTAAGCACTGAGCCATGGCTCCAGCCCCCTCCCTGCAGCTTTACAAAGAACAGTTTGCATCAGGCTCAGAATTAGCACAATACAGATTCTAACTCAGCAAACATGTCTGTATGATATATATGCCATAATCCTACCACTGGGGCGGCTGAGGCTGTAAGATCCAGAGTTCAAGGCTGGCCTGTGTTACATGAGACTGTTTCCAAAAAATATTAGGAGTCTTGGGGGATAAAGTACCTGCTGTTGCAAACATGAGGACCTGAGCTGGGGTGACACGCACATAACCCCCTCATGAAGCAGAGGGCAGACAGAAAGGAAGGCTGGGCTGTCAAATCTCAAAGCCCACCCCCAGTGACACACTTCCACTAGAAAGGTTCCACCTGAAGGTTCTACAACCTTTCAAAACCATGTCACCAGTTGGGAACCAAGTGTTTAAACATATGAGTCCAGAGCGGACAATTCAGCTTTAACCCATCACACTAAGACGACAGTGATGGAGGTACTTAAGCCTTCAAATTCACCAACAGCCACTGGCTTTAGAGTGTATTCTGCTCCAGTTTCATTTCTTTTGCTGAGATAAAACATCCTGACACTCCCCCATCATGTCCACAGTCAAGTGTAGAGGGAGAGCAATCCCACAGGGCCCTGCTTGCTTATCATCAGCTTTCTTTCTCTGCCCTCACACTGTTCAGGACCCCTTGCCTAGGGAATGGGGCCACCCACAATGGGCTTGGGTCTTCCCACACCAGTTAAGAATCATAACAATCCCTCATAGACATGCACATGGGGCAACCTAATACCGATAAGATAATTCTTCACACCCTTCCAAGGTGATTCTAGGTTCTGTGGAGTTGGCAGTTAAAACTAAACACACATTCTGAATTGGAATCACAAGGTGGGATGTTGGTATCATGTTCTTTTGGAATGTATACGTCTTACCCTTGTTCATTCAAATGCTGATTTCTTTCCCCCACTCTCTGGTTTCAATCCGGACCTTGCATTGTGATATTTATTCTAAGCATCACCTGTCTCAACTTTGGGTAAACATGCCAAAATAAAACAACCAGCCACAATGTTGAGCAATGGAGAGGAAAGAATGGGAGGCAGAGGGGAGAGAGGCTGGGGGAGGAGAGGCTGGAGGAAAGGTCTTGGAATGCATGGAGAGACGGATTGGACCTAATATATCACTAAAAACAAGTATAATTTGGGAAATATGAATGGTAGAAACTACGTGGGCTTGGAGGTTTAGGATGGAACAGCCATTGCCCAGCATTGTGCTCTAGGTTAATTAAATAAATCCCAGTCTCGTGTGGTGATTTCTATACAGCTGTTTAGGACTAACTGCAACTTTACTAAAAGATAATTAGTAGTAAATTTTAACGTCAATTACAACAGTGGGACAAAGGGCACCTCTTCACGCTCCTTCTGCCTGCTGCCCGGTCCCTGTCTAGAAGGAGAGTTGCCATTCCCTCCTACTGCCAAGTGTTCACATCCTAAGAGGTCACGGGATTCGGCCCCGAGAGCCACCCAGGTTCCCTGTGGCACCCCACACCTGTTCCTTCGCTCAGCTCTTCGAAGACGAGTTTTCCTCATGATTCAGATTGCTGGCTTCTGAAAAGGAATTTAGATCTCAGATCTTGAGAGAGGCAGGAACCCAGAGACCCTGAGGCATCTGTGTGCTCGTCAGATACCAGCTGTCTCCCCTGCTGGAATGTGGGTGTGCAATTGGTTTAGAAACAGCACACAGTGCTCTCAGGGCCCTGGGAACACCCTCCCCCAGATACCTCCACACTATCAGCCTTGGACTCTTTCTTTGCTTAGTGTTCCATGCTGAAAGAAGAGCTAAGGAAGGAAGAGGCTCAGAAGGAGCAGCGGGAGGCTCAGGAGAAAGAGTTGAAGCTCTGCAAAAGCGTGAGTTCACTGTCCTCATCAGTAAGCACACCTCAGAGACACACACCCTGACCTTGACATCCTTGCTGGGACCCACGACTTTCCCCAAGCATAAGGTCCTGGCTCTGCTGGTTGGAGAAAGCCATAGAACACCCTCCAGGATTCCCCGACCGATTGGGTCTGTTTTTCTCACGGGTTTCCCCTGGGAGTGAGCAGGAACAGGGCTGGGAGAGCACACCCAATGCTATAATAATTCATCCAAGCTCCTTGCCTTGGACCTAGGTTAACCTAAACCTAAGTTCCACCATCTTAAATGTGGCCATGGCCACAGGCAGTGTTTTGAACACAAATATACTCTGTGTTTTTAACAAGAGATTTTATATCACTGAGTAAAAGTGAAAGAAAGAGAAAGTCTGCTGTTTGCTTTAGAGAGAAGGCATCCAGAAAAACACCTGCAAAGGATGGTTCAACAGTTAGGAATGTTCTTGTAGAAGACCTGAGCTCGGTTTCTATCACCTGTAATTCCAGTTTCAGGGTATCTGGTGCTCTTTCCTGGACATCCAAGGGCACACACCCCCAGGCACACACGCACAGGCACGTATATGCTCATACTCACACACACCATTAAAAATAAACCTCTAAAAACTTTGCAATGAAAATACGATCTTTATTTCCATGTTTCAGGCCCTCTTGCATATCACTGGCTAAATAGTTTCCATCCTCCAGGAGGCTCAGCTCCTTAGACATGAAGAGATGTGCTCCTCTGCAACTTTTCTCTATGCCTCAAATATAATTAAAAAAAAAAAAGACAATCTGACTCTTCTGTTTTCTCAATAATCCTTATGTTAGTTAATCTAAACTAGTTGATCCTAATGAGTTGATGGGTATCTTGTAGTACTTAATCCAGGATTCAGGATGATATTTATCTATCTATCTATCTATCTATCTATCTATCTATCTATCTATCTATCTATTTATTTGAATTTTTCCAGTTGTCTACATCTGTGTGTGGCATGCACATACTGGGAGGGGTGTGTGTGTGTGGTGTGTGTGTGTGTGTGTGTGTGTGTGTGTGTGTGTGTGTGTGTAGACCATAAGAGGTTGATGGAGAATTGTGCCCATCACTCTTTCTCACCTTATTCACAGAGACAGGACCTCTCAGTCAAACCAGGAGCTCCCTCCCCCCATGGCTCCTGTCCCCAGCCATCTTGCTCTGGGTTTGATTGGCAGGCCCTGTCTCTGCCTTCTGACGCTGGAATTACAGACCTGTCACCACACACCAGGCTTTTACTTGGGTTCTGGGGGTTCGAGTCCAGTCTTCATACTTGCAGAGCAAACACGGAACCGCTGAGCCATCCTCCCAAACCCTTCTGCCGTTTGTTTTGTTTTCAAAGAAATTAATTCTTTTCCTTTACAAAGCACATTGAATATATTAGTGGGGGGTAGGGTGGGGAGAGGTCTACTTTGCTGCAAATGTAGAGCAGAGAAAGAGCTTAGCTGGCTGGAATGGACCCTGCCTGAATGAGCCCCAGAAATAAGGGAGTCGGGGGAAGGGGACCCCTCCTTTCACTCGCTACACCTAGTGAAACTTGAAGTCTCTGTGGTTGCTTTTTTTTTTTTTTTATTTTTTCAGCAAATGCAAGACATGGAGAAAGAAGTGAAGAAGCTCAGAGAGGAGCTGAAGAAGAACTACACCAGTCAGAACACCATCTCCAAGACGCTACGAGAAAAGAGCAAGGTGCGTGAGTTTAAGGAAGCCGGCGTGTGTCGGTGACCGCAGGAGACAGGGCGCTCCCGGCGCAGCGCCGCCGCGTGGCCAAGGCCAGCATCCTCCGCTCCTCCAGGACAGGAGCAAGATGCGCAGAGCGAACCGGTTCCCTGTTTATCTCAGTGAGACTCGCTCCTCACCCCCACCCCGCGCATCCTCGTGGGTCCCCTGTTGCCGTCCTATCCTGGGAACCGTGGCATCCACTTCCGTGGGTGGCAACCGCACAGAGCTATCTAAATAAAATAAACTAAAAGCCAATACAATAAAATTCAGGGCTGGGGAGACGGCTCAGTGGGGAAAGTGTCTGCTATGCCAGCCTGAGAGTCTGGGTTTAGAGCCCCAGAACCCAGGTAAAATCCGTAATGTGGTGGCATGTATAATTCCAGCACTGGGGTGGATGGAGATAAGCAAATCCCAGGGGCCCTCTAACCAGCCAATCTAGAAGAAGGGATGAGGTCCAGCTTCAACGAGGGACCCTGTCTCAACCAAAAATAAATAAATTAAAATAATAAAAATTAAAATAAATTAAAAATTCTTTTAAATTAAAAAAAGTGGAAAACAATAAAAAATGCTCAAAATCTCAATATGGCTGTGCGAGAGGATCATGAGGTATCACCCGAGCTGAGGAGCTAGTGGCAGTTTGAGGGCTGCTGAGGAAAGAGAGTCAGTTATCAAGGATACAGCCCCTGAGAGGCTGTCCATGCTCCCAGAAAACAGCCCCACAGCCACGCATCTCCCAGCAGCGCTAAATGGACACACACACACATAAAAATAAAATTAATATTTTTAAGTGACAGTGACCAGAAAAACTTAGAAATAAGTTACATCCTATCTGTAAAATTTGCCTGATAAAGAATGAATGCAGGTAAAAATCATGCCATGACAATGAAAAAGGAAACATTCGGAAATGTGCTGAGCCACTTGGCTCAATGTGACTTGACTCTGCAAAATACCCTCTCGAAAAAATTAGTTAACTTTGGCTTTTCTCTTCATCAGAATCATTGTAGTCATGGTAATGGAACCAAGCTGCTCTCTAGACCACACATTTTCCTCTAAATGAGGCTTTAGCTGCACCCGACAAGTTCTAGAATGTTTTTCATTATTACTCGGAACCCAGTCTTCTCCGATGCCTGCTCTCAATTCTTCTCCGACACATGGTGCATTTTGGAGTTATTTTCTGATATCTAAATCTATGAAGACTTCTTGGCTGCCTTTTGGTTACTGGTTTCTAGCTTCATTGCCCTGCATACAGAGATCTTGCTCTGGGTGATTTTAGGTCCCTGGTATGGACTGGGGTTTTCTTGGTGATCTGCCTGTTTCACGTGTACCTACAAGAACAACACACATTCTGCTGGGTCCACAGTGTCCCCACATGAGTCGTTTAGGTCAAGTTTGACTGTGGGGGTTATCTTGATTGTTAATCGGTATGGGAAGAACCAGCCCACCGTGGGTGGGACCATTCCCTAGATTGTTCCCCAAACTGTATAAACAGAGAGAAATCGGGAACTAGAGAGATGCCTCAGAGGTAAAGAGTACTTGTGGCTCCTCCAGAGGACCTGAGTTCAGTTCCTGGCACCTGTGTCAGGTGGCTCACAACCGCCCGAGACTCCAGCTCTCCTTGGTGGAATATCCAACAGCTCTGTCCTCCAAGGCACCTTTACTCTTCTATGCCTGCATGCACCCATGCACACACATTTAAAAAAAGCTTGTTAGGGTAGAGAAAGCCAGTGATTACCAAGCATCAGAGGGCGGCAAGCATGCATTCATTGCTCTGTTTCTGACTGTGGACACGATGTGGTTACCTGCTCTCCAGAGTGCTCAGTTTAAAGGCGTGTGGTGCCATGCCCTCGTCACCGATAGTTTTTCTGTATGTACGTCCTTGTAATTTTTTTCACTCGGCTCTTCATCAGGTAAAAGTAGCACAGAAGCTATTACCTCTACCCCCAAATCCAGTAGCAGTTGAGTTTTTACTCACTTTGATAGTCTTTTCATGTTTATTCTAAACATGCACTTTCGGCTTATCAAAACCCAGTGTCCGTGGGTGGATGACACCACAGCCACCAACATGAGCTCTTCATGCTAAAGAGTTAACTTGGGCTTCACAGACTCACAGGATGTAATCATCACTACCTACCCTGCACACTGACACCCCAAAGGCATCCCGCCGGAGTGCTTTTGTACATTCTGTGTTCACACCCACAGAAGCCGTGCTTTTCCCTACACCCCTGGGTGTCCATCCAGGATCCTCCTCCTTCTGCCCAAAATATATCCTGAAGGATTTAGGCTCTTGTGATGATGAAGGTCCTTGGGGTGCTTTTGCATGTGGGTATGTGTGAATGCAAGCGCGCGCTCACTCGTGTGTGTGTGCGTGTGTGTGTGTGTGTGTGTGTGCGCGCGCTCGTATGTGTGTTTCTAGAACGTATTTTGACTGTGCACTGACTTTTCTGTTGACAGTGAGTTCCTTCAGCAGTCTGTAGACCTTCCATTGTCTCCCGACTGTGAGACTACTACATATTTACTTTTTCTAAGTGATATTTGTTATGTATCTGTCTTCCCTTGCCTTTTTTTTTTTTTTTTTTTTTGAGATTTCCTTTTCCTTTGACTCAAAGCAAATGTTCAGCTTTTCCTGAGGTGAGTTCAGTTTCCTTACTTTGTTCGCATTCCTGTGGGCTTCTTGCCCCTTAGGCTTTCTCTGTTTTGTTTAATTCTGGTTTTGGTTGGTGTTTTTGTTTGCCATTGAGCCCGGAGCCTGGGCTGTGGACTGGGCGCAGAGAGGAGCTTCCGGAGGCCTCTGACTGAGGCACCAACTGCACTGGGTTGGGGCCCAGTTCTGAGCGTAAAAATCAGAGCTCATCTGGCATTGCGGCAGACATCTCTGCCTGTTCCCTAGCCCGCCCTGTGATCTGGAAGCTGTTGTGTCCATTTGACAGACGAGGGAGTGAGGGCTGAGGAAGCGTCTCAGAGCAGAATAGTTTATGTGAAACCACCGCTCGGTAAGGGGCAAAAACCAAGCCAGAGGCCTGGTTTACGGAACTCGTTACAATGGCACAGCCACTAGCTGTATGTGACTATTGAAACTGAAATCAACTTAGTTTTAAAATTCAATTCCTCCATATTTGTATTTAAAAATAAGATGTTATTTTTAAATTCAATTGAAAATCCACCCCCTCCACTGAGCAAAGATGTAAATTTAAAACCCAGTGTCCCTAAGCACATGTCCCATATAGCCAGACGTGGCTGTGGCTACCGTACGGGCAGCCCAGACCGCTGCTCCCAGCTGGTGGCTTGCACCAGTACCCTCAAGAATGCACTAGAAGGAAATAAATTGGAGGCAAGGACACCATGAATCTTAAGCCAAAGCTCCTCAGTGCCCAGCCTGAGGCTGTGTACAGGGTAGAGACCTCTGAGGACTAAATGTGCTCCTCAGCACAGGGCAGGCAGGACCCTGGAGGGCCAGGGTGGGGCTGGGCTGTGACTGAGGCTGGCTCTAGGGCTTTGGACTGGGAAGCAGGGAGGAGAACACTAAGATGAGGGGTGCAGAGCAAGCCCAAGGCCAGGCATGGAAGTCCCGCCTTCTTAGACCTAGGAAGAGCTGCAGGGAGAGCATGAAGACCACAGCCGTGGAAGGCCTCTCAAGCAGCCCGAGTCTGAGAGGCTCTTTGCTGCCCCACAGGGCTCTGAAGAGAGTTGGGAAGGGTTTAGGGTGTGTGGTATTTGCACATCCCTCTCCAGACCCCAATAGGAGGCTTGTGAGGCTGCTTCAGCGCGAAGCCCCTTCCACTAGAGGAGTACCCACACATACCTCTAATTCACGTTCCAGCCGTGGTCCCCATGGAAGGGGGAGACACAAGCCAGGAAGAGGAAGGAGCTGGTGTGTGGGAGAATACATTATATACCTGTGTAACGTGCTCTCAAGAAGCCTATTCTATCTAATTAACATCTAATTTGAAAAAAAAAAAAAAAGTAGTTGTAAATAGAGATGCAGCATGTGCCACAATGTCCAGCAGAGGGCAGCATTGAGCGCACTCAGGCGTACAGGGAGGGATCAAGTAGCCACGCCCCTGTCCCCTATCCCCCTTTAACTGCCTTCTGCAAGTTCCAGCTCTTTCAGAGTCTTGCTCGGCTGGCCTCCCTGAGTGGTCCCAACTGCTGACATGGCCAGGCCAATATTCCCACTGACAATACTTACCAAGCCCCCTGTGGACAGGTTTACTTAGGGTGTCAGAATAATGGTGTGTGGCTTATCTTCCAGCTTTATGAGTGACAGCTAACCCGAGCCCTTATGAAATCCCGCCACTTCTCCAAACACTCTTAACCCCACGGGAACTCGAGGCAGCCCTAGAAACATTATCCCCATTCCCCTATGAAACACTGAGTCACAGACCAGCAAAATAAGTCTCTGACGTCACGTGACTTATTAGGGGCAGCACTGGGATTCAGGCCCAGGCTAGGCTAACCTGGCTGAGCCTGGTCCTTGCTCCCAGAGGATGGTGCCTTTAAGCAGACTTCCACACCATACTCCCTTTTGATTCCTGCCGTGTGGCCGCAGCTATCTGCGTGTGCCCCGGGGACCCCCAGCAGCCGTTAGAATGTCCTAGAGGGGGTCTCCCAGACTGTCTCGTGACTACCCTAGCAGCAGCCAGCACATGCTTTCGCCATCCTTTCAGGTTGAAGAGAAGCTTCAGGAAGATTCCAGAAGGAAATTGCTTCAGCTGCAAGAAATGGGGAACAGAGAGACCCTCATTAAAATCAATTTGGAAAGGGCAGTAGGCCAGGTAGGAGCGTTCCATGGCCTTCCTTGCTGGGCCGTGTGCCCCAGGGTGTCCTACACCCACAAAGCCAATTTTGGTGCCGGGGTGTGGTGGGGTAGAGTGGGGTGTGACGCTAAGACAGGAAGGTGCTGCTGTTCTGTGTATCGGTCCTGCTAGAAAATTCTCCCCCCACCCCCAACAGTGTGCTGGAATCCAAGGCCCTGGCCAAGCAGCCTAGCCTGCTCCAGAGCTCCCTGCTCCCACCCCACCTTCCCTCTCTGGAGTGTTTCTCCCTACTGTTTCCAGTGCTGACGTTTCCCCTAGTCTTTCCTCCCCCCAGGGAGCCCCCAAGCAGATTCTCAGTGGCCGTAAGGAAACGCCTCTTTTTAAATAAGTAAGCCGGAATGTCCAAAGTTCATGCTAGACAGAGAGGATCCTGGCCAGGGCAGGAAGAGAGCCCTTCTCTGGCTGAGTGAGAGGTGCCGGTTTCCATTGCTCTGGCCCAAGGTGGGCCAATGGGCCTTCCATTGCACAGAGCCCTGCCACAAGACTTATAAAGACATATAAAATGCCACAAGACTTGACACAGGGTCTGAAGAGAGCCAATGAGAAGCCAGTAACAGAGGCCTAAGCTCCTCAGGACAACTACTCCAGATTATCTGAGGGAGACCCCGCTGACGCCCCACCTGGCAGTACTCGAGACAGTGGTGTGTGCTTCTGTGTCCGGGAGGAGGCTCTGCTGTACAACTGAGCAGGCTCCCAGAGGGGCCGTGGACCCCCAAAGGCTAAGAACCATAATCCCACGTTGCCCAGCACCAAGTCCACAATGGTTTTAATTTACCAGCATCCAGGCTGTAACCAGGTTATGTGACCAGGCTTGCTCCTCATCAAATGATGTGCAATCATTGGACAGTGATCAGAGCTCTTCATCAAATAACCCATCACACCTGTTATTTCTCTAGTAGGTCCCCAGTCCCTTGTCCTATCCCACATGCCAGTCTGTGTCCCTGGGCTGCCCCTTCCTCTCGCTTGCTCTCTTCCCCCCACCCCAAAATACACCTGACTGAGGGCATGGCCTGTGATCCTTGCCCAAAGGCCTTCATTTCAGCTCCAAGCTGGAATGCAGGATCCTGAGACTGCACTATGCATAGATTCCCAGGGTAGGGGAATCAGCCTTCCTCTCCCTTCTTCCTCCTGGCCTGTCCCTTTACCTCAAGGCCCTGCCCAGCTGACATTCTTCTCAGCCCCAGTCCAGTGTCCCCAGCTCCCAGCACACCATCCTGTCACCATAGACGGTCTCACTGTCCCATAGACGGTCCCTCCAGGGGCACCAGGACCCCTAGCATGCAGGGCTCCCTGACATAACCAACCCCTTGGATAGCTTGACTTTGGTTTGGCCATGAAACCAGAGGACAGCTTAGAGCTCCTGGCTTGAAGGTCTTTGGCACTGTCCCATGTGTGGTTTTCCAGAGTTATGAGTTCTGGTGACACCTTGACTTCGAACTTCATCTGGTGGCCTTCCGGGTCCCCTTGAGGATAAATGTTAACCTTTAATGTTCACATCTGTCCTGTGGATCACAGACACAGGTCATGGGCCAGCATGGGAGCCAGTTCTCAACCAGGCTCTGTAACCTCTGCTTCCTGACAGAGCCTTAGACTTGGGGTTCTAGTCTTTACACACAGGGCCATGCCCTCTCCCCCACGGCTGAAAACCTCAGCCCATGGGAGGGTCGAGGTACCAGCTACAGGCATGACCTATATGTTCCATATCCAAGTGCCCAGCAAACACCCGCTGAGTGCCCATTCCATGCCTGCACTGTGCTGGCTCCAGGAACATGGAAGCAAATTACAATGAACAGAGGGACAGTTGGGACAGCTGATGTCCAAGGCATCTGGGGACAGAAGTGTGCTTTCTCAGCTCCCCAGCACCAACGCTGATACAAATTTAGTTGAGCTGACAGCCTCAATATTTATTTCACAGCCTAGCAATTAAGAAAAGGCACTCCTGGGCCCAGACACCCCATTAGTTGATCACCAGGGGCTCTTTGGAGGGCCTGATGTGTGCAGGGACCGTGTGCCTGGGTCAGGCAGGGCACCAAGAAGTCCTTGAGGCCTACTGCTGTTCTGTCTTCGGTTCTGCACTCCAGTGCTTCACAACCCTGAAGGACCGTTCACGTGTGTGGCCTGGACCCAGAGGCGGAGGCGCCAGCTCAGCCTTGCCTCTGCCTCAGCAACCCCTGCTGACCTGTCACCCCCTCTGTGCCACAGCTGGAGCACTTCAGAAGCCAGGTCATCAAAGCCACTTTCGGAAGAGTGAAGCCGTTCCGTGATAAGCCCATCACCGACCAGCAGGTTAGTGTGGCTCTCTGGCCACGTGACTCACTCGCTTCTGTCTCCGGGGATCTGGATGCCAGACCCTGAGAGCATATGCTTCTGTTTTTGTTAGTGACACATATTTTTCACACTGTCGCTACACCATAAAGATTTGTTTTGATTTTAGGGGATTTCCTGGCTTTTGAAGTGAAGGATGGTTAAACTCCCTTGAAATGTTACTTGGGAAATCAAGTCCAGCCAGGCAGGCTCACGTCTGGCCACCAGGCACACACTGATAGTCTGGGAGCGGAGGGGTGGCCTGGCTTTGGTCCACATACCTTAGTTGATCCCTTCCAGAGGGGGAAGATAAGTGTAGACAGGCCTCTGTGGTGCTTGCCTTGTTATCTTGTCAGCCCTTTGTGGCCAAGAATGGGTTCAACAAGTTCACACACGGGGGCTGGAGAAATGGCTCAGTTGGTAAAGTGCCTGCCTTGCAAGCATGAGGACCTGAGTTCAATCCCCAGAACACATATAAAACAAAAATGTCTGTGTGGCATTACATGTGTGCCATCCCAGTGCTGGGGAGGCATAGGCCAGCAGATCCCTGGGGTTTGGGGTTCTCCGGCCAGCCAGCATCAGCCTACTTGGCAAGTTCTAAGCCCGTGAGATACCCTGTCTCAGTAAAACAAGGTAGATGGCGCCTGAGGAGTGGAGACCTCTGGCATCACATGCATGTACACACACACACACACACGCAAATGCATGCTCTCACACATGTGCACACATAAACAGGCACCGTACAGTACATACACTCACACAGTACTCGCACGCAGAAAAAACACTGGCAGGCAGGTCCAGGAGAAGCTGGCCTGGGAAGGCAGCCTCAGTGTCAAGAGCCATTGCTACAGGCTCGGAAGAACCCGGAGGAAATTCAGAGAGACAGTGTGACCCCAGTTCCTGGTCAGCTTGTCCTGGTGACAGGAGGCACGACCCTCGAGGGCCAGCATCTCGGGGCCTGCCACCTCACTCAGCGAGCCAGGGCTCGTGCCGCCGTTCTGCAGCCACTGCCTCGCAGAGCAGGCTCTCCTGAGACATCTTCCCTCTCTGTCCCCTGGCCAGCTGATAGAGAGGATCATGCAGGTCACCGAGGACAACCTCAGCTTCCAGCAGAGGAAGTGGAACTTGCAAAAGGAGACGCATCAAAGCAACTTGAGGCAGGAGGAGACCTCAGAGAACGTGGAGCGGCTTCGGGAGCTGCTGGACAACTGCCAGGTAGCCTCTCAGAGAGCCTGACAGGCAGCTTGCCATACCCCCCCCCCCCCGCGCTACCTGTCAGAAAATTGCCCTGCTTTCCGGTCTAAGATTCGAAATAGCCTCCCAGGGAAAGCTGATATGGTCAGGAAAAGATGGCTGAATATTTCCAGGGGATGTCAGCCCTCTGTCCCACGTCCCGAATCTGCAGATCGAGTGTCACCCACACTGAACACCTACTGGGACGGGGCACATGCTTGCCTCACAAGCATGAGGTCCTGAGTTCTAGTCCTTAGCACCCACAGGAGAAGATGGCCAGCACACACCTGTAGCCCTAATGCTTGGGGAAGCAATAGCAGAAAGATCCCAGGGGCTAGTGAGGCACTTAGTCTAGCCAAACAGGCTAGCTCCAGGTCCAGTGAAAGACGCTGGCATCAGAGACGAAGGTGGAGGCTCCAGGATCAAGGTCATTCTCAGCTGCACAGCAAGGTTGAAGCCAGCCTGGGCTTCGTGAGATCATACCTCAAACGTGAGAAAAGCTTTCTTAAAGTAATGTGGAGACTTACTGAGACGACCTGACGCTGACCTCTGATCTGCCTACACCCCTCCCCCCCAGTGTCAGTTCATGGACCAGATAAGTTTAGGGTGGGCTGTTTGCTTTCAGAGTGCAAAGGATGGGCCCTCTGCCCTTGTACACAGTGGGCAAGTACTGTACCTCCGAACCCCATCCCCACTCTGAGACGTTCTTCTTGACTTTCTTTCTCCATCACGTGCATTGTGCTGGGTATTGTACCCGGAAGGATATACGACTGCACGTCCCTTACTAGAGGGCTTGAGCTTCCTCACATTTTGGCTTCCATGTCTTGAAACTAATTAATTCCCCAGAGATAGAAAGAGATGACTGTCCCAATGTTGGGAGGTCCCCAGCTCTAGATTGTAAAAAAGTAAGACAGAGAAACCACAGCTGGGGAGATGGCTCAGTTGGTAAAAACGGTTTCTGTGCAAGCAAGAGGACCTGAATCTGATGCCACACCAAAAAAAAAGAAAGAAAGAAAGAAAGAAAGAAAGAAAGAAAGAAAGAAAGAAAGAAAGAAAGAAA